CCGCACCGTCACAGGCCCTGAACATCACCTATGATTGGGTCGCATACGATGTGAGCTTTGTCGAGCAAAGGCAGTAAGAAGGCGCATTTTTTCGSATCAAAATCATTTTGTTGAGCTAACTTTGTTTACCTCCTTCATCAAGGACTGCTCCTCCTCCAGGCAGAGATTAGGMGCGAAAAATCTTTTATTAAAATCCTCTGAAACAAATAGAATTAAAAAAGAAAGTATCATTCAGCATTTCTTTTGAGTACGTACACTGATTCGCATAGCAAACCATGGGGTTTCTAATGTGTCCAGTTTTCCAAGTAGCCTTTCAGTAACATCTATTCTTTTAATTTCTGCGGGTTTTTTTCTTAAACTTTCAATGTTATCGACACCCTAAAAAACAGCMTGTTTTGAGTTTTGAGGGAGAAAAATCGGAGAACCCGTAGAAAARCACTCCAATCGAGGAGAGGGACCACAAATCTACTCACATGAGATGCCGAGTCTGGGAATCAAACCTGAGACCCCAGGGTTGACAGGCACTACCGCTAAGTCACCTTTGACTCCCTTAAGACTTCAAGAATCCATGATCTCTTTAAAATATTTCATTCTTACATAATAGAATATTTGATGTACAGTATACCAACCTATAGTTAAACAGAATTGTAATACATTAAGCGAAGCTTCTTTCCTCATGAATTGCATGAACGGAAAGAGAGCTGTTTGCGAATGAAGAATTTCACCAAGTGACAAATACAGAGCCTGAAAATCAAAATACAAAGAACGTTTGTYGTAACATAGAGTATTCGTATGAGTGGGATACGTACGGTACTGACTAACAGGCTGAAACATTGAAATAGCTTCCCATATAAGAAAGGTTCAAGTTTTTATTTCCACTTACAACAATATAAAATAATACATGAAAAAACATAAGGGTAAATTATTATGGTGGTAGAGTGCAGGAATACAACCCAAAGTGTTAATGAAGAAGCTTCCTACACCTTAGTATTCATAGGAAATAAGAATGGTTATCATATGAGTGGGAAGCATACAATACTGGCTTACAGCACGTACACAGTACGACATGTGGCAACATAAAAATGGCTTCCCATAAGAATGGTTATCGTATGAGTAGAAAATGAATGGTACTGACTTACAGCACACACATGGTACGACATGCCGTAACGTAAAAATGCCTTCCCATGATCATCGTGTTGGTTATGGTGATGGTGATGATGATGATGGATGATGATTGTGATGATGATGATAATAATAATCTATGATAGTACTTACAGAATTCCTTATTGGAGCTCGAGGTCTTGCAAAGTTCTTGAGAAATGGAACCTTAGACGATGGAGGCTGATTAGAAGCAACCATCTACAGGGAAAACAATCAGAGTATCAGTTAACATACACAGAATAAACAGGATATATCAAMAATAGCCTGGGGACAGGATACAGCAGACCCTAAACAATCTTACTGCAAGGTGATTCCATGCTCTATGATTRGTCCATTTGYGGTCCATAACTGACAGTACGGACCGAAAAATAAGACATTGGGAAAAACTCATCCCATAACTTAAAGACCTCGCATTTAGTTATTGATGATAATAGATATTTTTTTCTATGGACTAGATATGAGATAATATCAACTACACAAACTGTGGTATCTTCTCTATAGAGTAATTTTTAAGAAACAATTAGAAAAATCAAGAAAAATRGCTCAAGGGGCAGGCATGTTAACATGTTATGAGAGGATGAGACAAAAAGTTGATAAAGAAGATTTCACACAAATGGGAAAGTTTTTTGACTTCTTGGCTTCTGTCACTCTGATCAGAGAAAATATTCATAAGGTGTAGTCCTGCCTGCTATAGGAAAATTAAGCTACTGTGCATGCTCCTACACAACAATGATGACACCATTATTTGAGACCACAATGTGCGWRGGCACTAAAACCAGTCAAARCWGCRAACAWRAMCTYCAAAATTTTATTGAGGAACCATAAAAATTGTGATTCGAAAACTTTTTTCATGGATTCTTTTTAAAGTAAACAGCCACCTTTAACTAAACAAGGAAGGAAAATGGGGAGTCCTGACCCTACCCCCCCCTACCCCCTGGATCACCTTTTG